GAGGCAATGTCTACCGATTAGTCGAAGAGTGGAGCGTAACAGAACTAGCGCATGGTCCGACTCAACGCGATTTTGCACTGAACCACGCCAACGGTAGCTCAATTGGGGTCAGTTTTCCCGTTGAACTAGAACACCATGTAGCCGTTCGACGAGAGCTGTGTCGAAAATTGGTGCTAGATAAGAACAGCCGGTAATCCGCGCAGAACTGCCGTAGTCGATCACCGTTGGCGGGAAGGGCGAAGTGCCCTCCTAGACAGGCTTCGAATGCACTCAGATTTCCAATCTGCGCGTTAAATCACCTGCCAGCACTATAATATCAGAGTTGCGGCTCAACCGAACGAGTTCGGCGAGTTTGTCGTAGAATTCGTCCTTTTGTGAATCGGGACTGCAGTTGGTTGGTGCTTAAGCGGATATATTAAAAAAAATCCTTTTGGTGTAGCCACTTCCGAGCGCTAACTGAACCCTGTAGCCGCATTGCACACAACGGACTATTGACGGGTATCTAATCTATCATAGAGGCTTCAGCTTTATCGTTTAGCACTATTCCTACATCATGCTAATCCAGTGAGTGGGCTTGTCCTCTCCTGATATGCGGAGGAAATACCTCGAGGACAAACCCAACGCACTCAGGTGGCTTATAATACTATGGTCTTTAATACGTGTTTCCGGTACGCCTCAGACATCGATTTTAGTGACTGCATTGTACGCGCAAGACACCTGTTGACCCAGCTGCATAAGGGTCCTCACGTTGAAGGCCCTCACATTGAGCGGTTGACAAGGCTTCAAAATTTGCAATTTATTTACAGGAAAACTAGTTACAGTGTTATTTGGCAACGACCTTTGATGATTGATGACCAAGTTGTCTGAGGAAATGTTTCGGGTCGGAAGACAGAAGTAAAGGGAGAGGGCTGGGTACAGAGTTAAACAAAAGTTGGGATATCTGAGCAGTGGCCCACTTGTCACTACCCGCCCGGCTCGATGCAATGAACAGTGCGGTCCTGATTATCCTACGCAACGACCGATGCAGTATGGAATTATTTTTTGTTTGTGGGTTCGTTTGAGCTTTATGGACGAGTATTGCTAGGCTATCCATCCTCTAAGCAGAAGAACGATTAGGGTTCTCAGCCTAAGCCTTTATTTCTGACAAGAACCTAACCGCAAGGCAGCGAATAAAGTGGATTAGAAGCCCATTAACTGGGATCAATTGTTCTTCCAACACGTTTGACTGACTGAGACGCAGACTCGAGTCGAACCCACAACCTGGAGGACCAGGAGACTGGACCTTGTCTGACCTTTACCCATTGACCTTTCAGTCATGATTCGATCTTTGGCTCGACAAAGGCCATCTTGTATAGCTCGTTGGGTCACAGGTGCAACAGCCATCACACCACTTCAAGGTACTGTTTCTTCGTGATGGTCAGTGATACAGTCGCCATTTGTGGCGCATTTTGCACCTTATGATCCGAGGTTCGAGCTCCGCCATCCAACTTCAGTGGTAGGCAACTTTTCTGTCGTCCGATTCAGTACTACGCCTAACCTAGCGAGGCCTCATGTGGTTCGTCATTTTAAGTCTCGGGGTTTAGTGGTTTCCATCCTTAAAACAGTAAATCTTGACTACAGGGTCCATTTCGTCTGTTCATCAAACGAGTCTGTAATAAAGAATATGTAGTTACTTTGACGGATTGCGTAGAAGTTTGAATTTCTTCCATGTCAAAATGCTGATTATCATGTCGCCATCTCGTGTTTTCTTAACACTGTAGTCACCTTTTTTAGTACAAAAATATGTTAAAGCAGTGACCTACAACAAGCTCATCGATTGAGAAACCTCTTTTTCTTGTTCTCCAGCATGAACGAAGAAACCTTATCCGAGGAAATCAACTACGAAGAACAATATAAGTATGTCCTTAAGGTTGTTGCTGTAATTTTTAGTGACATCTGTTACTTCAAATATCCTGCATGATGTTGGGATTTTTGCAGGTATTGATTCCCGGATTTTCTTATTTTGTTCTCGTCATATGTTTACACCTATGTCACATCTGGCTCACTATTTGTAACGCTTTCAGGGTTTTGACAGAGGAATGTAAGAAATTGAAGATTGATATATCAAGTTTACAGTTAAGCAACCGAAGCCTTGTCAATCAAAACAGAGATGAAAAAAAGAAAGTCATGGATTGCCGCCTTCAGATTGCTGATTTGGAAGGCCGGCTGAAGTCATTTGATGCCACGAAACAAGATCTAGCTGATTGTCAAGCGCAAATCGAGCGTATGCGTATGACTCTAGAAAGTAATGAAGCCAAGCTGGCTGACGCTGAACGACGTGCTGATGAGTCATCCGGATTAATAAAGGTAATACTTGTCCCCTGTTATCATCTCTTTTTAGATCAAGGATAGTGTTATTTCAAAACAAAGCAATTTTATCAAAGAGGTCGAGGAGCGACTTCGTAATACTACTGAAGAGCGAGATCGTTTATTACAGAAAAGCGAAAAGTTGGAAGTGGATCTAAGTGAAGCGCTAATTAGGGGTGAAGATTGTGATGATTTACGTGAGAAACTGAAAGCACTTGAAGCATTGTTTGATAAATTGACATCCGAAAAGTAAGCTGCTTCCTATTCATTAATGGTTTTGCAGATCTGATACAACGACAGAGAGCGGATTGGCGGCCGCTAATGAATACTTCAAGGCTGAACAAGCAAAAGCTGAAGAACGTATAGCAAGACTAAAGGAAAGTAAAGCCGAATTAGAAAAGCTCATTGAAAGTCTCGAAAATGACAAAAAAGAGATGCAGAAACAGGTGAGACCAACTTTTTCGTGCTGTTTGTTTTCATGTCTATAAGTTAACGTTCAGTTACTGTTTCTTTTGGTCTGAAAGAGTTTAATTATCTCGGATCTATCATATTGCGCTTACTTGCCAAGTAATGTAACGCTCTTTCACATTCGTTATAATATTTCGGTTGAACTCTATCTAGATGGTTACTTGATACTGATAGTAGTATTTCCGTACCACGCCTAGAAAGCGATTTTACACCGGTGTGTGATGGACAGCAGACGGGGTGCAACTCCATAGTCACGAAAACCTGCTGTTCAGTAATGGTAACTGGCAACCTAAACCGATGTGGCGAACCACATGAAGCTCCGCTAGGTTAGGCGTGGTATAGAACCAGGCGACAGCAGAGCTGACTACCAAAGTTGAGTGGCGGTGACGAGGCTCGAACCTCGAACTATAGGTTCCAAAGTAGGCCAGTGACAGCGAATAAACCATTACGCCACTGAGCAATAAAGCGTGATACAATTGCTTTCCGGATGCACATATATTTGTCTGGAATTTGCCAAACTTACCATTCGTTTCATCTGTAGATGGAAAAACACCTTGAAGAACATGAACAATTGAAAGATAAATGCTCAACGATGGAGGCACGCATCAAAGAAATGGCGCATGCTGAACGTCGTTACACAGGTGGAATGGTGAGTTTCCGGTTCAGGTTTTATTAGCNTAATAAATACCGGATCCACCTATTTAAAACTTGCTTGTGATGAGTGTGTTTGAGCCCTTTCACCGTTTATTCTACTTCAGATGGGTTCTCGCCTCATAGGACCTACTTTACCTCCGTGGATCACTGATGAAAAGAAGATCGAAAACGATATCGAGCGGCTCTCCAAGGCGGACCCAGCAACATTGCGAGCAAAAGTGATGGAATTGGAAAGTCAGCTCAGTGAATTGAATCAGCTCCTGACCTACCGGGAAGATGTTATTCTGCGGATACACGAGGTAAGGCTTCGCTCTAATTTACAAAACATCTAGCAGCAATATTTAGTCCATGCGGTTGTGAGACCTTCAGGAGAATAACGACAAATGCATTACCATTTCCTTCTCTTCAGGAAATTTCCAAGAAAGCCTCGAAACTAGAAGCAGCGGAGGTGGAGAGGTCTAGTTTAAACGCTCAGGTCAGTATATTGAAGCGCGAACTGAGCACCGCACGTGAAGACCTGGCACGCCGCGGCGCAGGTCCCATGGAACTAGAGGCGGAGATAGATCGTTTGCGTGGTAAGCGCGACAGGGAGTACCAGCGTCGCAAACGAATCGAGGCAGAGCTCGATGAACTCGAGAAAGAAAATCAGGAATTGAAGCAGCGTTGTAAGCGACTGGAGGAGGCTGCTGCTAATATTCCTGCCCCAAAACCCGTGAGTTGTGATCGATATTCTCGAATCAGTTTCATCAAGCTGTATCTCTACTTGTCCTTCCAAAGTTATTGGTCTTTCAGGGCAATAAACCTGGCGAGAGTTTTACGCAGATCAACTGTGAAACCATAGCAGTCAATTTCTTGGGTTGATCTTTTTCGTTCGTGCACGTAAATGTTATCACACATGGAAAGGTTTGTTCTCTCACCGTCAGATTTTCGAGAGATCATACTGACAAAGTAAAGTATTTTAGTACATCAATAATACCTTGTCTGGTGAACTCACTGGTATTTTGTCGAAAGTGCATGTCTATTCAATCACCTGCCTAACAACACCTACGTTGACCATGCTTTCGGAGCGGACATTCTAGTTCGGAATGAAATCATCTGATTTCGTCAACTGTTATCCTTACCTCGTATTTCTAAATCTTTATTTTCTTAAGGTGGTTCCTCAAAGTGATCCGGTCGATCGAAATAGAATAATTGAACTCCAAGGAACCGTTAATCAGTTGCGAATGGATAATGAAGCTAAGCGATCGGAGTTATTTGATCTTCGATCACGGTTTGATGCGAAATCCGCCCAAATGGACAAAATCGCTACCGAGGTAAGCTTTTCTCGCGCGAATAATGCGTATACTGGTTCGTTGTTCTCGCTGTTCAATGTTTTTGTAGTGGCAATGGACGATTCTACCATCGTGTTTTCTTTCTACAGCTTAAAGTAAAGGAAAAATCTACTGGAGAATTGACAGCACAACTCAACAGTATCCGCGCGCAGTTAGAGTCGACAACCAAAGATCTGGAAAGCGTTCGCTGTCGAGCTGTTCGTGGAGGGGCTGAGGTTGAACGATGGCATTCAGATCTGACCAGTCTTCAAGTCACCAANCACCAACAAGTTTTTGTCCTCACAATTGAACGAGATGCGCACCAAGCTCCTCGCGAAAGAACGTCTTGTTGCGGAACTAGTCAAGCGTTGCCGTGAATCATCAACCATCCCAACCAGCGCGGGTAAGTTATTAACACGAAACACATTGGTGCACTTCCAGTGTTTTAGTTTCTCCCTCAACCTCACCCAAGGAGCAGCCAAAAAAACCAAAGCTATATCGTAAAATCGCTAGCTTGATGATTGTATAAACTCAATGTGAAACATTTTTCTTTCATGAAGTTATTTCGTGGTGCCCGATTTTCATCAAAAATCAGCTGAAACTGCCGTTTCCGACACTTTTTCCATGCCATCCCACCGGTTATTTCAAGCGGTCGCCCTTGAATAGATAGCGG